ATGTTTGGGACCTGCACCCTAAATTTAACCATGGAGCAGAATTTTCAGCTCCAAAGGTCATTTCCTCAGAAAAACTCTTCACTCTGCAGAAGCTACTTTTAGCAGCAAGCTACATGCCGATCAAATCCCCCTACTTCTGTGAACCTGATAAGTCAGAAACTTTTTTTTTTTTTGGCTGGTAATTTACACATCAGACGCAGCTACTCAGCTTCTGCCCCACCGCTACATTAGCATGACTCACAGCCTGTTTAGGCATGTGACCCACTGGATACACCACTAAATGGGAATTGGCACAAACGGGGTGATGACTAGCGCGTCAGGGCATGTGAGCTGTCGGGTCTGAAGGTTCCTCAGCTGGGAACGAGCATAAAGAAGCCAGAATTCATTATCAGAGGTGTGCCATTTAAGCCCGAGAGCAAAATCCAACAAGTACTCTGGCCTTCTTTGCCTGTCACTTCCTTTTCAATATTTTTTTACTTACACATTTGAAGCTACTTTAAGAATTTGTGATGCCAGTAATAGACTATAGATGCTACTTAGAGAATGTCTTGAAACATGGCTTTATAGTCAGAACATCACAACAATTTGAACTGTCTATAATCAGCTTTATCAGCTTTATCTAAAAAAAACAGCTGGCTATGTCCTTCTCCAGTTTTTCTTTAAGTCATCCTAATTTTTCATTCTATAATTCACATGTTCTTTAATTTTTCCAATTCATTTAGTTTCCACCACCCATTCTAGTTTTCCATCATTTCCTGTATTTTGATTTTAAAAGAAAATATACCGGTAATGAAAATGGCAGAGTGTTAGCTTAGCTTCAATCCTTATTTTCTTTAGGTGCCTTTTTGTTCTCGCTTGCTTGTCTCCTCAACTCAACTCAACTAAAACTTTATTTATAAAGCACATTTAAAACACCCGGGTGACCAAAGTGCTGTAGTGATATGACAGTTGCAGGAAATAAGGTAAAAACTAAAAAGCAAAAATACATTGAAACAATTCAATAAAATAGAATGAAAATAAAATAAAATAAGTTAAAATTTAAATAAAAATGTAATTTTTTTTGCCACTCAGACTTGATTTAAAGCCAGGGAGAAGAAGTGTGTTTTTTGGCAGGATTTAAAAACCTTGATGCTTGAGCTTGAATTTAACTTCAGGAAGTCTTTTTATGTTCACCCTGTATGAATAACCTTTAAAAATTATGTTTGTCTATTTCTACTCCCTAGAACTAAATGCTGTGCTTCAGTTAGCATATTAAAGCAACTTACTTCACAACTAAAGTTACCAAATCAAATTTCAGCTGGAAAATGCATGTGTGGAGTTTGCATCCTCTGTCTGTGCACTGGTTCTTTATCGATACTCTATCTTTATCCATCTGTCACACAGAGATAAACAACTACACACACTCACACTTATGGACAATCTGGAGTGTCCATTTCACCCTGCATGCATGTTTTTGGACGGTGGGAGAACAAACTCCTCACAAAGGTCCCGGTCCCCCTGCAGGACTTCCATCTCCCTCCCACAATTGAAAACCTCAGCTGGTGGTTTTAAATGGATTATTGAGGCATATGAACAAGCAAGTTTGTGTGTGGCCTGTCTTGGAAATAGCCTGGTGACCTGTAACCTGGAAAAAGCTCCAGTTTTAATATGACCCCGAACAGATAGAAGTAAAGGTTTCAAATGATTCAAGAAACATCACATTTTTCCACTGTGAGAAAAAATCCATCCATCCCTGCCTCCATCCATCCATCCATCCATCCATCCATCCATCCATCCATCCATCCATCCATCCATCCATCCATCCATCCATCCATCCATATATCCATCCTTGCATCCATTCTTGCATCCATCCATCCATCCATCCATCCATCCATCCATCCATCCTTCCTTGCATCCATCCATCCATCAATCCCTGCATCCATCCATCCATCCTTACTTCCATCCATTTATCCATCCATCCATCCATCCATCATGTTTCTTTAAAGTTTTTAAATTAAGAAACACTTTTAATATCACTATAGTGAATTACAAACCAATTCATTTGACCCCATGCCATGAACAAACTGCTCTGTTGTAACTTGTATGTTCACATTGATAAATCGGCCCCAAGAAGGAGATATTTAGAAGGTTATCAGATGTTGACACTGTGCTGGCAGGTAAATGAGCAGATCTTCTATGTTTATGTTTATGTTTATGCATTTGGCAGACGCTTTTATCCAAAGCGACTTACAGAGTAGACACAATATTACATTTATCATTACTATGACAATAAGCTATACAGAGGAGAAACACTGATCAGAGTCAGTGGTGACAGCAAGAGATAGAGGTAGAGGGACTACAGAAGGAGTTGTGGGGGGGTAGAGGTACGGGTTAAGGTTAGGATAGGAGATGCTCTTTGAAGAGGTGGGTCTTCAAGAGTTTCTTGAAGACAGACAGGGACTCTGCTGTTCTTGTGGTGCTTGGTAGGTTGTTCCATCATCTTGGAACCCATCTTCTATTCAGCAGAACAATGTAGCCGTCTCTCCGAGGCCTTTTCTCGTTTTCCGCTTTCCATCTCTGCCCTGTGCAAATTTGTTTAGCCAAACAAACCCCATCTAACACCATCTAACCGGACAACATGGTGAGATCCACATTCAGACCTCTGCTCATGGACCAGGAGTAGCAGCGACCGGGCTAAACCACCACCGGCACATCAGAAGCTACTTATTACGGTGTCAGAACACAAGTGCACACAATCAAATCCTTTGGATCTGCACTTGAGACCACCGCTCTCTCTGTCCGTCTATACAATTTAGGTTTCCGGGCAGATCAGAGAGATGATTCTAATGGGCTGAAGCCGTTTCCCACAGCAGCAGATAAGGCCTCGGTCCACAGGACACACCCTGCACACACACAAACAGCATCCTCACCCTCACCCGCGTTTCTAAGTTAGAATTCAAATATTTAGAGAAATGAATCCACGTCTTGACTCTGTCATATCTGGTTTTAGTGAGCTGTTTGATTTCAAAACTGGGCGCAAATTCAAACGTTTTGGACACTGGAAAACACCCTGGATTTTCATATCTTCATATTTTACGTTTTCCTCAATAAGCACATACGTTGTAAGAAGCTTTTCAGTTAAAAATGTTTTTTTCTTAAATTCAAGTTACTTTGAAATTTTTTAGAATTCATCACCCCAGATTTGGTTTCTTGATCAAAACAGTATCCACTCACCTAAGTATGTGTGGTTTGAACTGACGTGCTTGTATTTAACTCATGGGGGGAAAAAAGTAAAGTACATCTTAAAATCTGAAGTCATATGTAGCAGGAAATCTTTAAAAAATCTTTTATGGCCCACCGGGTCTTAAAATTACCTTCAGGTTAATGACGGCAAATTATACTGAATTTCACTCAAAATGCAAAAGAGAAGACGTCGGCCAAGATCCCAGCGGTGGGACTTTGGGCATAAAACAATTAGATTCTGTGGTGCGTTATATTCTCTCCCCTAAATAGGTCAAAGACCACGGCCGTTCAGCCTATTGGCAGGTCAGCGGGGGAAACTGTGTGGTACAAATGTCTCCACAATAAGCCACCAGAACGCCAGTGGTGGTGGTGATGGGGATTTTGGGGCATTAACGCTCCAGATCCGTGGATGGTTCCGGCTCCGGATGAAGATTGTACTTTCACACAGACAGAACCTTGTTAGGTTAACCTCCTCAGCTTTGACTATTGGTCGTCCCTTCTGTCAGCGTGTTTTTTTGAACCCGTGTCTCTCTGACGCTGACGATGGGGTGTAATAATCTGTTCATTGTTCCCCGTCGGAGCACATGCTGCATCATGGGACATCCTCATCCCTGTGGCTTTAAAATTAACTCTGCTGTACTCTGTTTTTCAACAACACGCTCCTTCTCTCTGTTTATTTGTCCTCCCTCGTCTCCCCGCTCCCCCCTCCTTCTCACCTCCCTTCTCCTCTCACCTTTGTGCTTGTGATTTCTATTTCCAGGCCTAAAGTCGCTCCAAATGGTATTCCTTGGGTGTAAAACAGGAAAGCACCCTCTTCCAACTCTCTGCCTGTTTTCATCCTCCCACTCCTTTATCTGTGTCACAATTTCCCCCCTCTGCCATCTCTCTATCAGGGCAATCATCGCTTCATTCCTCAGTATCTCCACCCTAACAATCTAACTTATCTCATTGCCTTCATTCTCCCTCCCTGTCTTGCTGCTCATTATGTCTTGCTCGTCCTCCCCCTTCCTCCCCCTCTTTCCCTCCCTCTCTCTCCGGTTCCCTCTCGTCTGGGTGTCTCTCTCAGCACACCAGCAGCTTCTGTCCAGAGCAGCTTGTGCCGAGGATGTTTACTTCATGCTTTTATCACACGCCGGCCTAATGACGTTTAATTGCTTGGTTTGTGTAACGAGCGGGGGGCCTGAGCTGTGGGCTCCCCACAGAAGCCAGAGCAGAGAGGCCGATCAGAGGAGGGCAGAGGCCAGATCGATAGCGACCAGAGCTCTGAAGGCAATGAGGAGTGGATAAAAAGTCCAAGAACTGGCTGATTCTGGTGGTGTGAGCTGCTGCTGTCTGCAGGAGGCGGAGCATTTGGTTATTAATGACAACTTTGACTGGAAAGTTTCATTATTTTATCGTTTTTTCCACTAGAAGAAGAGAATATTGGTGATTGAGATTTTTTTTTTATGCCAAAGAGTGAAAAAAGAGACAAAGTGAAACCAAAAATGCATTAAAATTAGATTATTGGAGGGAAGAGATTGTGCTTTTGAGGTCGCGCAAACCATGTAAGGAATCAGCTATGTGGAGGAGAGTTCAGTAGGAATTTGAAAGTAGGTTTTGTTGGTGATTCCCAAAAGGAAACGCATCAAAGATCCCGGAGGAGCGAAGAGTAAAGGGTGTGGAAATGGAAGTGCCCGAGACTTCATAAGGGAGGACCAAATAAAAACAAACTCCAGAGTCAGGCTGAGGAGAACGCCGTAGAGAGGAAAGCAGAATTAGGTGGACTGTGAGCCGCGGTGATGGAGCTGTTGGAGGTGTTCTACCGCAGGAAGCTCCGGAGGAAGCAGAAAAAGCCGGAGCTGGGCCGGTCCGACGGGGCGCTCTGTCGCTCCCCGTCAGAGGCCAGCGTCAACAACCTGGCCACCGGCCTCATCTCCAAAGTCCTACGCTTCACCTCCAGGTAAAACCGCTCCCATTTATCTTACTCCATCAGGACGAGTAAAGGTGTTTGCCCAGAGAAGATTAACTGAAGTTTCCTTGTGGTTTTCTGTTCGCTAACATTTTTTTTCATTGAAATTTTTATTTGTCATGGAAATACAGTGAAGTTAGGAGATTTAATTTGACCCCTCCCCTCCAAAAAAGTGCCTGTTTCAACTTTGCATCAATATCATAAACTTTTATAAAGAGGTTTCTTTTTCTTTTGTGTTGCTCTGTGACAGATGCATATTCATATAATAAGGTTAATCATCATTTAAGATTAGAAAATGAAGACCTGGAATTGGATATGAGCTGTTTCCTTGGTGAGATGTTTTTTACTTAGACCTGACAACTACCACCAACATTCTTTTTGTAAAGAACCCTAAAATACGCCTGTTGTAATTATCATGGTTTGACAAACTAGTTGTTTATCCAGGATTTGTACTTGCCTTGAGATTTACTGAGATGCAAGCAATGACTCTGAAATTACTTTATTGACTCACAATTGCTCACAATTTTGAGAGTTGCATTCAGTGCCTTTAAATCTTTTATGTTGTATGGGCAACGCATTTCTTAGCACAAAATCGTAGACTTCATAATTCTGACTCAAGACAGATCAATTTAATTTTCATTTTGTGACTCTGGATGTGACTCCCAATGCTGACTTTTTCCAAGTGTACATGACTACTTTCTAAATAAAAGCTAAATGACATGTTGGTAGACGCAATAGTTGAATTAAGTTTTTCCTTAACGATATCCAAGCCAGTCCAAACCAAATTTATGGAGATGGGAATTGAGAGGAATAGCTGTGGATAAAAGAGCAGTGATTGGGTGTTTAGGTATTCCAGCTACGTCCTGTCATTACTCAGGTCCCTGTGGCTCCGAGACGTATGGGCTTTCATGTCCTCTGTCTCCAGCTTAGCCTGATAAAATCGTTTCCTGTTTATCTCTGAGAATAAATACCCACCAACAGGATATGTCGAATGTGACGATGGTCAGGGGGAGATTATTGTAACGGCCATGCTTGTCAGCGTTTCTGTTATCTGGCATCGCTGGATAACGTGTTCAGAAAACAGCGATGCCAAGTCCACAAAGATATCTGCTGTAAACAGCGACATAATTTGATCCCAAGAAAACGTATTTGGAATGCAGTTTTGTCCCGAGGAATGCGTCATGTTTGCTGACCCCCGACCCTCATAGATCTGCATCTTAGCTTATTTTTTTGTCGCTTCACAGAAGCTATTTTAGCTTGTTGGATATCTCGATATCAGCCACTTGATTTATGTTTTGATGATACATCTCTTGGGCGTCTTTAGTTTTTGGTGTGACTTACTTCTACATTTTGGCTACGACTCTGACTTCTGTTGAAGGAATTTTGGTTTTGTTATTGAACATTAACTTTATTTATTTGGTAATTTTCCAAGCTCCTCCCATTAATTTGGAAGAGTTAAAACAGCCAGGGGTTGTGGTTTGGGGGGGGGGGGGGGGAATGTCAGGGGTGATGACGGGAGGTTTGCCATTAAGATTTTTTGACCACGCCACACGCTACACCCTATACTTTTGTTTTACCTTTTGGATCACCTTTGTTACTTTTTGTTGGCAGCAACATTTTAATGGAATTTTGTTTGTTATTTTCTTAGAATTTTACAAAGAAATAAAGCAAGTGCGTCAAAATCAAAACACACCTGTTGCCACGACGGCCTTTTTAATTTCATTAAAAGGCCGTGACAGGTGGTGATTCTTGTTCTCGTAGATGCCGGTCATTTCTTTGGGCAAATCCTGGTCACCATAGCTACCGTTGCCACTGCACAGTCCCATTTCGATTCCTGAACCTCCTTCTTGTTCTTGATTTGGTGAAACTACAAGCCAATGTCAAGTTTTAGACTCAGTTTTTACCATGCTGTAACCAAAGGGATGTGTCATATTCCATATTTGTTTGGTGACTTCTGATTGGCTTCTGGTGTTGCGTTGCATAGCTCTATCAAGTGTTTGGTCAAACTTATCAAGACCCTGTTAACTCAGATGAGGGCAAAGTTTGCTAGCATGCAGGTTTGGAGCAGTGAGGCTAGAAGACATGTTGTGAAGAAGAAAGATTATTAGCATACTGTTTGAAGATGTTGAGTTCTGTTGTTCACAAAGTTTTTCTTCAGCTTGCAGGGGGAATCTTGTCAGATCTAGTTAGCTCTCTCTCTCTTCATGCCTATGCATGAATGTCTGGAGTAGGGATGTCCCGATCCAGCTTTTTGCACTTCCGATACTGTTACTGGCCTATCAGAGCATTTATTAAAGTTTAAAGTTATTTAGCCTACTTACCTAGTTGTCAGACTCATGTTGAAAAGGGATTTACTCTGATAACAACTAGCCAGCTGAATTAGGGGAGTCTGAATAATACACAATAAAGAGACACTGACCTGTTTATTCAGGGATTAACACAAAATTAACACAAAATAAACACAAAATTATAAATAACAAACAGAAATGGCACCAGAGAACAATAAAAAGTGCAAATAATATTATAAACTGTATAAAAAAGGCAAAACACACAAAAAACCTGAATAGAAAACAGGCTATTAACTCAGCGTCAGTAATGGATTATTTCAATCACTTAAAAATGTTTTTAAAACATTTTTAAAAAATGGATTAGGAGTCTGGATTTTCTGGCATTTTCTCCTGCTGGCCAATACGCATTTTTTGGCAAATATTGGCGGCCGATCCGATCCAGATATCAAGTTTAGTCTGGAGAGGGCTTCTGTGGGGACGTTTCTGTGGTTGTCCTTTGTGTTGTGATTACTATTTTTCTTCCATTCTCCAGTATACTTTCTCTTTTTAAGCTCCATATGGATCTGTCCTTATGCTGGTTTCTCCTTGCATATGACACATTAGATACCTTTTTGCAGAACCCAATAAAAAAAAACTCAATTCAAAGCAAGGAAATTCAGAAGTTGTCTATCAGTATTGTCTTTGCCCCCTGATGCCCTAATGAGTGTATTTTGACTAATAGCCTTAAATGTCACTTTGGAATTTCCTGTTATAATTCCCTTCTTTATCTCTGTCATCCACTTAAAGTCCCTTTTCAGCCACAAAAGATGCACGAAGACAGTGTTATTGTCAGTCCAGGCTCTTATTCTCATCTTCAGCTGTAAGTGGATGCATCTGGGTCTGTTAAGCGTTTGGTGGGATGGACGTTTTCGTGGAGCCGGGTCCTGCTGAATACTCTGGTCTGCCGTGCACACTGCAGCATCTTTTCAGATTTTCTACACTGCATCTGTTTTTTTTTGTTTCATTTTTATGTATGAGAGTATTCTGACAGGCAAACCTCCGGATGTGATTAAGTGCAGCTGAGACTGACAAATATGTCCAAGTCCAGCAGTTAAAAGCTGAATCACACGCTCAGTGGAAGATATCCCCATACAGACAACATACCAATGGTTAGTTTCAAAATGAAAGATGTGACTCAATCAGCAAAGCCGAGCATGTGCAAGAAATATGTGAAGGACCACCAACCAAGCTGTCTTCAACGTTAGATAAAAAAATGCCACATTTCATTGACTTATTTAATCATGGCTCCAGGGAGTTTTGCGGAACAGAAGTCAGTTGTTGGACCTGCTTAAATCTAATTTATGTGCCCAAAAGCACCCAGAAGCCACCCAAACTTATCCTGGGGCTGACACTTTTATTTGATTAGTCAATTACTGGATTATTTCTTAATACATTTTGGGATGAATCAAATTAGCAGATGTATGAGCGTGTGCGTTTCTAGCCTTCAGATTGTTCATTTTGTAAAAGGATGTACACAAAAATGTGTTTACGACATCTGATACTGAACAGGAATGCTCCTACCTTGTATGGTGGCCTTAAATAGCACTTTGCAGCAGCGTTGTTGCTTCGTTTTGGGTTTTAATGCTGCCTTAGACTGTGTTGATAGCTTAAAAGAAATGCAGGGAAGCTAAAACTTTTGTGCCGCATAATGAAATTATAGTTGATGGCAGTTAAACTATCTTTGTACCCCAACCTGGCATTGAAGAAGCTCTGGCTATGCAAGAATGCCTTGTCAGCACATTATAAAGTCTTAAAGCTTGTCTTCCTTAAAAAAAAAAGACAGATTTGTTTTTTATGGTCCTCCAATGATATCTGTGCACAGTCATGCTCCTATTCAGCTCTTCTCCTTTTCGATGATCCCTTTTTAAATAAATTGACAGCTTTTTCAAAAGAGATGGTTGAGCTTTTTTCAAATCTTTTTATTAAAAAGATATACAGATCCTCATAGCGGGGGGGAACGGGAGTTTAAGCTTTTACCTCCAGACAGTTTTATGTCAGGATATCCGATACAACGCACTTTATGTTTTCCTTAACTCCCAACAGACGCAATGAGCCGGCGTCTCGTCCTCATTCGTGGCATTCAACAAAGCTGGAGGAAGGCGGGCAGAAGCTGGAGGAGGCAGCCATGGACGCAGTGACCAGCGCCTGGCCCCACAGCTACCATGCCAGGTGAGTCCTGCTGCTCCTCTTTTATCCAGTACACGTTCACTCGGTGCACCAGATCATGATCAAAGGTATTTACCCAACTTTACTTTATTCGGATATTTTTAACAGACATTTGAAATGCTAAGCTGTAGGGCTTTGACCAAATCAAGGGAGGCTGAAGGTTTCTAAGGGAGCAGCACATTCAGAGTCGGACCAAATTAAGAGTTGTTATTCCCACAGCACAAAAATACCTCTAATATGTTGAGATCCAAATAAAAAAAAATAAAAAAAATCAGTCCCTTATAACATTTCCAAGGTACTTACAGACTTAGGGAGCAAGAAGTAACAAAAGGTCCTCTGTGATACTGTTGGATCATGATGGGATAACATGGGTTATCAGGTCTGGAAACACTGGTGGAAGAAATGCTGAGACTCAGGCCCATTTTTTATTGGCTGAAACCATTACTCCTCCAGTGGTCCTTAGTAACCATTGTTGTTTTTTTCAATTAAGTGAAAGAAATGTAATCACATATGAAAAAATGTATCTCAACTTTCAACTGATCTCAATATTCATTTTCAATGGACATCAATCACTATAATAGCATGTGAGTTATAGCCTAAAATTTGGATTCAGTAGACTTTCGATGAAAAAATAAACATAAAAAACATGAAAAAACAAAAAAAAGTTTTTTGCTTTTGGTCCAGAGTTTCATATTTGTAGAAAAAAAAACCTTTTTTCAAAGAGAACCATGTTTAGGTCAATAAAATTCATTTTGTTATTAATTGTATTTTTCTGTCATTCACTTAGGGCCAGAACTAAGTATATTAAGTTTTTCAGCTTCAATTGTACAACAACAATATCTCCAGCTATTTTATATCTTGATGTTCAGTCTGAATAAAAGCCTGACTGGGCTTGGTATATTCAGATCTAAAGAGAATGTTGCTCTGAATGAATGAATCCTTTACATTTCATATGTTGAAAGAAATTGTCTGGACCATCCACCAATCAGTCCATTTAGGTCAACGTTCAGGACCATCTGCAAACAGTTGTTTAATATCTTTTGCCTTATCTCGTACTGACACGTGCAAGTCTCCGATGAACCCACGCAGACATTTCCAGCAGGCAAAATAAAGATTGAACATGTCAGCAATTTTCTAAGTAAACAATTTCTAAAGTTGCTTTAAAACGTATCCAATCCACACATGCTAAGACATCAAACCATATACGCTCATAATTGATTTCATGTATACTAATGGTAAATGTCTTGATGGAAATAAGTTTGGAACACATGTTCAAAAGGGAGTATGTGAAGTCATGACAACAGCCGAAATCTGAGTGAGAAACAAATCCAGCAAATTATTATCAGCCCATTCTGTCCCAAGTGAAAAAGACAGGTGTCTCATTCCCAAACATGATGGGTAAAACCAGTGAACTCTCTCAAGAGCATTTTCAACTTTATATTTGCCAATCATAATGATGGTATTGGTTCCAGTTGAATTTAGAAACTACTGTTGAAGGTTCCAGTAAGCACTGTTGGAGGTGGAGAGAACATCATTTCCCTGTAAACAGGCCACAATCAGGTGCTCTCCACCAGATTTCACACAAAGGAGAGACTCATCAGAAGAGCCAAGGACCACTTGTGGCGAGCTACAGAAGGACCTGGAATCAGTGTAATTCTTTCAAAGAAAACAATAAGAAACACTCTCAGCCACCATGGCCTGGATAGACTATAACCATTGTTAAAGAAAAGCCATGTTAAGTACGTTTAAAGTTGGAAGTACAACATTTAAGGGGGCTTGTGAAATACTGGGACAGTAGTCTGAAGTTTGGAAGTGTGAAGTTGACGTGTACCTGTGGATTTTATATTTTTATATATATATATATCAGTGGCGGGCCGTGCATTTTACACCTAGGCCTTCAGTAGTGCTCCGTCTGAATCAATTCACCCCTCAATAACTATTTTATGGTTATAGAAATCATCTTAATATGTAGAAATACAGTAGGGATGTCCCGATCCAGCTTTTTGTATTAAAGTTGATTTTTTTTTTCTACTTACTTAGTTGTCAGACTCATGTTGAACAGGGATTTACTCTTATAACAACTAAAGTTTACACAGACCTGTGGGTTAGGAGATGCTAATGCTAATGCTCGGGTGGGATCGGACTTTAAAAAAAAATGTATCTGGAGTCTCGATTGGCATTTTCTCATGCCGGCCGATACGATCCAAATATCGGATCAGGACAATCCTAAAATACAGTCTAAAGATCAGGGGTGCACAAGTCTTCTACTCCTGCAGCCACAGCAGCGATCCCCCCCCCCCCCAAAAAAAA